TTTATCTCTTATTTTATAACAGTTACAGCAGAACTGCTGATCTGAAAGGACACATGCCCCACAGATTAATCCACTCTGTAAATTCAGTTCAGAGAGACTGATGTACCTGAGCCTGACTGTGTTTAGCTAACATACTCCAAAAATGGTTTACCATATAAGCAGTAGAACTGGACTACAGGTTGCACTTGCATTCCCAAAGCATGTGGCAATTGAAAGTGGGCTGCAATAGCTAATTGAAACAGCTCATAGTCTCATTTGAGGTTTCCTCAGAAGTAAAATGAACTCTTGGGGTCGAGTTACCAGGCAAGTGCTGACTGTTGCTGTTTGATGAGCCACACTTCACATAAGCAAAGAACAAACATGAATAGATCCTACATCAAATTTATGGATCAAAAGATCTCATGGTTTGGGAAAGGTGGGATATTGAATTTTCAGTTAAAACTCCAAGGAAAAGTTTTCATGTACTGGGACATTTCAAAAGATGTTCAAAATTTGGGAATACGGGGCGGGGAAGATGTGTGTGAAAAAGTGAGAGTGGGGGAAGGAGGAACCATACTAAAACATTACGTATATGAATAAGTTATTTGCTCTACTCTTCACTAATAACTTCAATTTTTAATTTATTTTCTTTTTACAGTGAAGTTAATGATACTCTTAAAGTATAAGCATACCGTGTGTTCTGGTGTTCCTTGAATATTCTGATTTGAAAAAACATATAATCCTATATACATAATCTTTGTGAATGTATCTGAGACCTAGACATTGAATTCTTTGCTCTCTTTCATCAGCATTATTATTACTTACTTATTTATAAAATTTCATCAGAATCTTTTGCTGCAATTGGGGTGGAAAGCAAACATGAACAAGTAGAGGCTATTGCAGGTAATTATTAATTACATAACTAATTAGTATTACTCTCCACAGCTAAATACCAAAAGAAATTATTAAACACAAATAAAAAACATTTCCTAAAAAGACTTTGAATTAAAAGGATTTTAGAAGTCCTAAAACTTTAGGTTATGCATGGGCAATAGTTCTGACATTCACGGCCAAAATGACATTGTTGCAACAAATTTCTATGCAAAGAATTTACAATTTTTTTCCCAGGGGAAAACAAAACAAAGCAAAACACAGATCCTAGAGCCAATCAACTGATAAACTAGATTGTTGGTAGCCTGATGGAGATGAGGTTGCTGCAGCTTCCTATTTTTAATCCATGATTTAGAAGTAAAATGAGGTCAAGTGGTGTTCCCATGTGGCACACAGACACACACACACAGATGCAGCATATACACACAATAGGTAACTTACAGATAGAACCATTCAGCACTCAAACACACATAGCTCAAACAGCCTTATTCTTCTCTGGCTGACCAGGAGGAAGGATGATTTATAACTGGAAAGATAATGACATACGCAACATGAATCACTCCTGCAACTTGCCTTAGACATTCAGTCTATCCAATAGCCAGCACCTGGTCCCCAGACTTTGCACTTGGTGCCACCTGGACAGACAATTCTAGGCCTGCAGCTCCCCTCTAGCTGCAGATACAGACCCACTTTTAATCCTGGACACGCTCACACATCCCCACTCAACCAGCAAATTATTGATCCCCCAGGGATTTACACACTGTACATGTCCAGTAAAAGTACCTGGACCTCTTTGGCCCCCAGTGCCCAATGATATCCCCACATACACATTATGAGCTCCTAGTAGCTGGTTTTGGCAATGAGGCTGTCCTGGCTCCCTGGTCTCCCCTTGACTCACACACAGAGGCACAGAGCTGCAAACAGGACTTTCATTCAACCCACAGTTGCTCCAGACTGGTCTAGAATTCTTGGCCCCTCCAGCAGCTGGCTTTTCAGCTTTGTGGTTTGGACTTTTGGCCATGTTCCTATCCATAATCCAAGCCACTCATCCAACTTGCTGGTTACTCTAGCCTGAGACCACGTAGTGATCCCACACTGGCATAGGCACTCATGCAATAAACAGTCTGCATTTTCCAGTTTGCTGGCATCAGATCCATAGACAGACCCCTGTGACTCATGGTCCAGCTCCAGTTGCTGGCATTTAAACCTCCCTACAAACATGAGTACAAGAGAGACCCTTTACTCAGGAAAAATAGTTAGAAATGGAGCATAATAAGACACAGGAAAAACTGCTGATCAAGGACAAGGCATGACCAAACAATGGTGCTGAGCAAAGCCTCTCTGCACATGGATGGCCCCTTTTATCCTCTAATTCCCATATTATCAATTCCTTTTGCCTCCCTAATCTATCTTAATCCTCCCTTTCCCTGCCTATGGTCCTTCCTCTAAACATTCAAGAATAAGTCTACACAATTCCATGAAGTTTTTCCATGCATCTCGTAATGTGCCCCATACCCCTGTAGGAAGTACTTCTCTCAGTCTGAAGGGCAATCAGGGCAGCATTTCCCTTTGATTCCTCATGATGTGTTTCAGTCCTGGCATATGGGGTTGCCTGGGAGGAGCCTGAGCTTGAGTCTAATTAAGAGAGGGGATTTACTCTCCCTGCACTGCACCTCTGTCCCACTTTGGGTGTGTGGAGAAGAGCCTTTTTTTAGATAAGCTAACAAAGATGTTCTTCTGCCAAAAATACAAATTTTTCTATTTCAAAGTTTGTAATTTAGTGCTGGCCCTTTATTATATTTTAAATGTATGAGTTCTATAATCTTTTTAAACTATCCTAAACTAAGCTTCTAAAAATCTATAACTTTAAAGTATTCAGATAGTAAGTTGTATAAATCAAATATAGACAACATTAAGGTAGAAGACCTTACAGGAGTAATCACATCAGAGCTATAGACATCTTGATATCTTCTGATAGCTCCAAGAAGCTCTACTAATTGTCAATATCCTTAGGCTTCACAAACACTATATTCAGTCATAAATGTTGGGACCTTTCTCTTTCCCTTTTTGCTTCATTTGGTCTTTCCTAGTTGTAAAGGAAGTTTGTGCATGTCAGTGTAAATTAAGAGGACATCCAGATAAAATATAGTTAAGATGGAATTGAACAATTGAGGTATTAGGAAAAGTAGGTCACAGAAATGCTAACAAATTCAGAAGAGTGATGTTTTTAGAAGATGAGTCTTAAACCTGAGAAATTCAGAGTGAAATTTCATAGTGACTCTATTTTTCAAGACTTTCCCATCATCTCCAATATTCTATTTCTTCCCATTATATCATGCCAAATTAAATTAACTGCTATTCTACAATTATAAAAAGCCAGCTTATAAAAAAAACAACCACACCTTTCTCCTGTTTTTTAACTGTTTCACTGTCTACTTAACTCATTTTATCATTTTCATATGCTAAAGTATCAGAATAATTTTCATATTCTAGACAAACATTAAAAAAAATTGAAGTTCATAAAGTGTTATTAAATCTCTGTCAAAGCCTAAGGCTTGAGAGTGAAATACACTCCCATCTGCTTTCCTTATGACATACAGTAATGTAGCAATACTATTTCTTTTGTGATACAGATTGATACTGAGAATATCCCTTATGATTCTTCACTGACTGAATAGCAGCTTCAGGCTACAAGTTCCACACCATGATAAAAATAAAAAATGCAGACCATTGCCTCAGAGTGCTGACACAGAGGTAGAAACATAAAACAGTGTTGCACTAAGGAACATAAGGGCAGAGAGAGCTTGAGGACTGTACCACTGATTTTCCACAACTCTTACTTGTTAACATGTACCCAAGAGTGGTTTTCACCTGTACACCCAGTACTTTGCCAGACTGTACTCTCACACATGGCTGGGTAAGGTGTGTGCCAGCAACTGTTAACAAAACACAAAGTATATATGAACAGGCCTGCATCAGGTTTCCATGCCAGCATGTTGTATAGCCCTCCAACGTGATCCTGTCAGGCTTTGCGCTCTTAAGCCTTACTAACATGAGCTCAAGAATTTATAGAACATTCTGAATTGAGAGAGACTTTCCTCGGGGTGTCATAGAGTTCAGTCCTAATCAAAGCAGGACTAACCTTGAAGCCAGATGAGATGGTACAGATATACTTCTCTTGTAATGAAGCAAGGACACACCTCCAAGTACCACAGAGATTACAGTACACAAGCAAAGAAACTTAAATGCAAGAATATTAAAATGAAAACTATTTACATTTCAGCATATTTTAAAAATCACTATTATTCCCTACAGTTAATTAGGGGAAAATACGCTGTTAAGTGTATTTCATTACTCCCCTCAGTATTAAAGCTTTGATATAGATCAGAAAAAACAGTTTAAAAATTCAGATTAAAAAATTTACTTTTAAAAATTATATTTCCTCATTATTGAGGACTACAAATACACACTAAAAATTTATAATCTTATTAATATTTAGGATCATGCTCTTCAGAAAATCCAAAACTACTAACAATTCCCAACCTCAAAGAGATTTCTCCTGTCTTTAAGTAAACCAATTTGGATACATTATACATAACTTACACTTTGTGGAAAAAAAAGGAAATAGTAATGCATAGAGTTTAAGCATAAATATTTCGGTTCATTCTACTTCTTAAGACATAGAATAAATTGGCAATACAACAGTTTTATAAATACAAGAATGATAATATTTCTTGTGGTGTATGTGTTAAAGCACACATTCAATAATCCTCCCAAGCTTATCCTTCGGGCAAAACAAATCATTTAAAATTGTAATGCGTTAGGCATACTCGAGTCACTTTCTAAACAGAGGCTTGAAAAGATGAACGAAGGTAATTCAAGTTTGGTTGAATGGCTCACATCATGCCACGATGAAGAATTAATTCTGTACACAGCAGGCTCATTTTAGTACTCAGCAAAACATATCAACTCCTAAATTTCATAGTGTTAAAACAAAAAGCAGGATATAAAAGGAATTAAAAACCAAAAATCCCACACACCTGCATTTTGCACATTGGATTTCACCTACCAGACTTAAATAACTACAACATATTAGCCAAATCCCACTGACAGAAATATAAAATACCCACCTGTTTTGGGATCAACAGAGAAATATGGCTGTCCCTGAAGAATACTGTACACTACTCTGGCGCTGTTTCCATATGTGGGGTCATCTGCATCTGTGGCTGTTACCTGTAGAACAGATGTACCTGTATATACAGGAAAAAAAGAATCCATTAGTAATAAATATAAATTTATGATAAATATTTTCAAATGCATTTTTGAGACCTCTACAGTCCTCAAATTCTACAACTGAGAGATAAATAACATTTTCTCTATATTTTATTATACTAACATATTTTTAAGGAAAACTAGTCATACTAATTTCTAAAAAACCTTTTTTCTTTCTCTCTATATATGTATATGTAAATTAACTACATACATATAAACATAAATAGTAACTTACATAGCTTGCATATTCATACATGTTAACACACATAGACCTCAAGCTTGGATACTGATTTCTGAATAGCTCAAATTCATGGACCTCAGGATTATCTTTATCCACAATGCAAATTAATGTTGAAGTATTTAAAATAACTTCCATTAGTGCCCCCATATCAATAAAAGATGCTATGGTAATAAAAAATCATCTAGCTATTGGAAGGCATCAAAGATCTCAAAAACTACTAGAACCTTGCTAAGGATAGAAATTAGAAAAATAAGGACTAAAAGACAATTATATTTATGCCAGTAATAAAAACCAGTAGAAAAATAAAATCACAGTTTCTAGAATGTCACAAGGTGGAATAAGTTATGACAATATTTTTTAGAATATAAAATGTGTAAGTACTGCACAGATAGAACAGAGACAAGTGATTTTACTTTTTACTATATTTTTCAAGATGTTTAATGATGAATCTTTTTTGCTATCACTGCTAAACACTTAATATAATTAATCAGTAAATGAAAGACTGCATGTTAATAAAGGTTCAGCCTTCATTCCATTTGTTTATCCTTCTATAGACACAGCTTTCTACAGGCTCCTTTGGTCCAGTATCAAAATACCAGAATAATGATAACAGAACAGGATGTTGTCATTTAACTCTGCATCTGAAAATGGCTTCTCAGCTAAATTAACCACTGAGGCATCACCTGCACTCTGGGGTGTTCAATTTCACGTCTTAGTTGTGAGGAGAAGTATGTTTTTGAATTGAAGCCCTTGATCTCCTTTACTTTTTGTACTTTGATTTGCCTCATGAAACAGTTTCAGAGCATGCTAACTAGATTTCCTCAGATGAAACTAAACCAAGAGATGTGCTTCAGCAATACACCTGATTTATTCTGACTGCTAATAGGCATGTAGTCTCAGAGATCAGAGAAGAGTTAATCTGAAATAAGATTTCCCAAAAACATATGGTGGGGCCGTCGGTTCCTAAGTTTCAAATGTTTAGCTTCCTGCACAGAACTATTTGTTGATGTGAACACCCTCAGCATACACTGGAAATAGAAGTAAGTAAAATCATGGAGCCTCACTTGGGGTCCAACAAACTAAGCATGCAAATCTTTACACTTTCTTCACTCTTTGAGAAACTCTTCTCTCATTTGTGTCACGTTAACTTGGATACCGAGAGCTGCTGTTTTTATCTCTACTGGTGACTTAGTAAAATGTATAGCAAATGTGTCTTCATACTTAAATATAGTGTCTTCTGATCTCTGAGAAGCCCAAATGCATACAGTCTCATAGATAAATATATTCACAAAGCAGATATAAGGATATCTTGATGAATTTGAAGTTGAATACTGTAATAAAATCAAGCTGGAGCTGGAGTCTATTCATAATTATTCAGATGTCAATGGTAAAAGTAACTTTATTACTTCATTTCTGTTTATGTGGAAAGGTAAACAAATATAAATTAGTTTGTGTATTTTGTCTTCAACTGTTCTAGGAATCTATTCAGCTGTATTTATTTAATAATAAGGGTTCCTGAGAAATACATCAGGTCACTTCAAAGAACAGAAAATGCATTTTCCCCCCTATTCTGTAGCTTATTGAAATGCTGTAAGGATATATTTCTGTAACCCAGTTTTCCAATAAGTTTTAATTTGAAAGGAACTTGTATGTTTCAATCTTGTGGAATAATTGAAGTCTAACTGATAAACAATTATTTTATTTTTTCAGTTGTGTACAGCAAAAACAGGTATAGTCAGTCACCTACCAGAGTTTGCTATCCAGAACGCTGGGCAACTTCCATACCTTTTTATCTATAGATTTTCCTGTTTCCAGGAAAACAGTTACCACTAGGGTGAGTTTCCATTAGCACTTTTCCCCAGAATTCCAGAAAATTGAAATGATTGAACGGATTTTGGCTATTTCAGAAGAAAGTACCAGAAATACTGAGGTTTCATAGTTCTCTCATCCTTGGGAGACTTTCTTCTCTCTCCTTATTTCAAAAGGTAAAAAAGAATCTGAGAGCATATATTGCTCATTGATGTGGGACAAAAGAAACAGGAACAGTAAAAGGGGATAGCTCACATAAGCAGCTGACAGGTCATTTTAGCATAAATGGAAAGCCATTGTACCTTAAAATTTGCCACAGTGATTTTCGAATACAACTGTATCTCTCTCTCAAGAAACATCTGATAATAGTAATTTAGTATTGAATAGTGGCAAAGTGTTCTCTTTCCACCTAAAAGAACACTTAGAATCACAGATTTTAACTCAAACTCCCACCGTACATCTTAAACTCTCATTCAGTGAAGTTAATTTTTCCACTATCTTACAGAAGCATGCTCAACATTTTGTAAAATATTCCTGCATTGGGCCTTCTGCCTAACTCTTTCCTGAGTTTTTGGGTACCAAGGAAATATAGCTTGTGAAAGCTGTGGGTTAGAAAGCCTTGTAAAAAAAAAAAAAAAAAAAAAAAGGTAAAGAGAGTACCTATGCCTTCCAACTACTCCTTTTTTATTTGGCATCGTTCAGGCTCATCAGCATGCCAGACAAATCATAATTCTCGATACTTTGTATCATTTAGATGCAGCATCATTTTTTGTTGAGTTACATGCAATGAAGGATTTAGATAGAGAAGCATAAAGTACAGCTCCCTTGCTATTTTAAATGTTAACAAGCCTAAAAAAAGTACTCTGATACAAAAGATAGGGGTCTAATTTCTCCAGAGACCACAGGAGAGATATGAACATCAGACCCAGAGGCATACGTTCCATTTTTTTTTCACTAACTTACTGTGAAAGTGCCTATCAAGAAAAACTCAAAACTTTGCTTTGAAAGCATTTTGTCACTCCAGTTAGGCAATAAAAAGGACGACACATGCTTTCCCACTACATGTCAGAGATTACATTTTGGGAATTCTGTTTCCTTAATTAATGCTTTATATAGAACTATAAAACATGTCTGTATGCTCTGAACACCACTCTGTAAGCTTTGCCTTTTTTGTGTCAAAAAAAAAAAAAAAAAAAAAAAAGGATTATTTGATTGGGGAACCAAACTGTAGTTTTATTCAAAATATATTTCTTTGTTTTTTCCTCTTTTTTTAATGTTTGCAATAAAAATTCTTTAGTGTTATATATCAAACAAAAGATGAATGGAAATACTTCTATTTGTCTCTCTGAAGACAAATTTTTAGTGTTTAATGAGACAGTTCAATAAAATATGTCTGTTGAGAATGCAAACTCTACGCATGACTTTCCATAGTTCACTGTACTGTTAAAATCTAAAATGGATCAATATTGAACAAAAATTAAAAGAAGTGAAAAGAAGGTAAAGTTTAATGGACACAGGGATTTCCTGCCTAACTAACTTAATTCTTAGAATTGTCTTAAAACACTAATGAGTCAATAAAATGTGATTTAGTTTCACAACATGGGAAGTTAAATAGGTACTTCTAATAAAAATCATATTTGAAACAACATGAATATTGTCTTCCAGATTATCCATAATTATGGATGCCTCACACTATAATACCTTGAAAAGAAGTTCAGAAAAGTCCACTATATCTGTTAATTTCTTAAGTAGAATTTATTGGGAATACTCTTCTTATCACAAAATCACTGAATGGTTATGGTTAGAAGGGACTTTTAGAGATCATCTAGTCCCACCTCCAAATTAACTCAGCATTAAAAGCTTAATATGCAGTTTCACTCATTTTGCAGCTGACAATTAACACATATGAAGGTCTTTTACTAATTAAAAAATATCCTTATTTCCTTTTAATTTACATAAAGATGACTTTCATAAACCTTTAAAGAGGCCACAGAGCTGTCAATGAAACTGAGTTTTTTACACTGCAGAAGAAATAATTTTAGATGTAAACTTAGTTCTGGAGCAAATTTTTAGGGAAAAGGTTCAGTGAAGGCAAGGAATATGTGTTTTCTTTCATCTCTTTCAGAACAGTACATATAAAGTATGTTAACTTTGTGTCACAGTGAACGCTGTGATCTAATATTTGGCAAAAAATTTAAGAAAACTTACCTGTACTTTCTTGTCAGTGACCTTAAAAAAAAAAGAAAGGCCATAAAGGTCCTAAAGCTTTTACAGCTAGATTAAGAAAAGTTCAAATTATGGGGGAAATGCCACCTAACATCTTGAGGAGACAAAGAAGAACCTGCTGCTGATGCTAAACAACATAATTGAGATCAGAAATAACACCACTCAGCATGAGGACTGCTACAGAGACATGGTAACATTGAAAGGTCAGGTTGATCGTGTGAAAACCATAAGAAATTTTTAAAGTAGTGAAGCATCCTTAGAAATTCATAAAATAACATCAAGAAGTTCAGTTATGTATATACTTTGCAGCTAAGTGTCATAAAACACGTTAATTACAGAACAAATAGAAGTGGCACAGATATCTCCATAATTGGACACAAAGAATGTATCCCATGGAAGCAATAATGGAATTAGTCTTCCTGAAATTGCAGGCAATAGAATTCTTTCAGTATGCAAAAAATATAAACAAATCAGTGAGAGAAAAAAGAAAATAGTGATAATAAATTTGCAGTGAAAAATATAATGTATACCTACAACGTATGCATGCCTGTATGATGGGATACAAAAACTCAGTTTTATTCACGGAACACAAAAGCTTTGTGGAATAAATATTTTAATGACTTGCCTCAGGTACAACTCACAAAGTATTTTATTTATAAACCATATGCATTAATGCCTTATTTTACCAATAAAACTTCATTGTTTTACCATAATCTACTCTGGTTTATAATCCAAAGTACCATTCCAGACTATTGATTCAAATTTTCCTTTGGGAAACAGTAACTTGTATGATGTAGTTGTACTGTAATACCAGACTCAGATTACTGCCAAATTATGATTAACACTTATGCAAGAATGCTCCAATTTGAGAGGATTAAAAAAAAAAAACAACCAAACAAACAAACAAATAAACAAAAAAACCCCACAGCCCAATTTTTATAAATAGAATACAAATAAAAATTATTATAATAGCTAATTTTGATTTTGAATATAATACTGATTTCCTTTCTGCTGTCTTTCCCCCATGCAGAAAACAAAAGGCTTCCAAAGGGGAAGGAAATAATCAATTAAAATGGTCTCCATTAAAGACAAAGGAAACTGAATAAAGAGAAGGATGGAGTTATAAATTTTTGAGGATAGTTGATAAAGGAAATGAATTTCTCATTATGACAGTCTGTGGTGTAATGAGAGATAACTGAGATAAAAGCTTAGATGCTACTGAAATGAACTGCAACTCTAACAGTAAAGCTTTATGCTACAGTGATTTATCAAAGAGTTGAAGAGGTTTTGTACAGACTCACAGTATTTTTACTGGAAGCTCTATGCACTTACTGTAGTAATTCACACAAAGGTGTTATGACATTATTCACAAAAATACTGCCCTTCTGTATTTACATAATTTTTTGTTGGCAATTCCTCTAACAGAGGAAAGCTGAAAATTTGAACACCAAAGAAGTATTAAATAAAAAATCTGATTACATAATGTAGCATCTCAAAAAACATCTGAACTATATAACCAGGAAAACCAAAGATTAGTACTTTTTAGAACTTCAGTTCACTTTATAAGAACCTTACTAAAGATAAATAAATATATGTCTAAAATAATCTAGGAAACTATCATCTGGGAAACTACTATTCCTTTGTATTTGTTTAATTCTTTGAATTGCATAGACTGCTCCTGTAGACATAAAAGAAAACCATAAAGTGTGTAGTTGAATGAGGATATATGAATACATCTTGTTTCTAGAATGTAAAGAATCATTTGCTCAGGAACATACGTTAAAACATTCAAGATTAGGAGTGACTCTCCTCTTGCAGTCATCATGTGTGTATGTACTGTTTGCTTAATGTGAATGTCACTAGTAACATACAAGGTTGCATTTCATGTTTTCTAATCATCTGTTCTTAATTGTAATATCTTTAACCTACAATCAATTATACGAGGATGTGTTACAACTATGACAAACAGTAGTGGCATTTTCACTTGTTAAAACACTGTTGAATAGAACAGTTTCTTTTCCTTACCCATTTCAGACATCTCTGGCACAGTAACAATGTACGGTCCATCTGTAAATTTTGGTGCATTGTCGTTGATATCCTGTACTTTGATAATAAATTCAGATTCAGGCTCAAGTGGCTTGTTTGTTCGTCTATCAATAGCTTGTGCATGAAGCACGTAGTGTGTCTTCTGCTCTCGATCTAGGCTTTTGGTTGAATGGATGTCTCCAGTCGTGTCATCAATAATAAATATAGTCCCTGCACCTTCTCCAGTAAGAATGTATTTGACTGATCCATCACCTTTGTCAGAATTGGAATGCAGCTGTGGAAACACACAAAATCATATAAAATTAATTTTACATTTCATTAAAGGTTATTGCACATAAGATATGACTATATTACTGTTAGCACCCTTCTACTTAGTTTTTACCCTTTCCATCTCTTGCCATAATTCTTCATGTGCTCTTTCTGGTAACCCAAACATTTTGTCCAGGGTTACTTCCATCCAGCATAGTTCATTTCTTAAAGTGGGATTTCTTGGGTTTTCCATCCATTCTAGAAAACTTCACTAAATCAAGAATATTCTAGTAACTGGGGTGATTTTTGTTTTATTTATCTTCGGTTTTAGTCTTTCTAGTAGTTATTTTACAGCACTCACTGCTGGAAACCCTGTTTTAAGCACTAAACTGGATGAAGTCACACTGAGTATTGTTTGCTTCAGTGGATGTACTTCAGTCCAACCACCTACATTTTCTTTTGTGTCTTGAAGGACAACATCATTTACTGTGAAAGAAAACTGCACAGTGTGACAGTGGCAGATGTCTGTCTAGGATTACTCTCTCCCACAGCAAAACACAGGCATTTTGTTTGTTTATTTTTAATTAGAAAATCAAATAATTTGCCTTTAGTTAAATTATTTATAATTAAATAATGAAGTTTGACTGATACTTCCAGCATTTTCATTGTTCATAACACACAGTTTGTGCTATGAAATATTCATTAAATAAATTATGCCCCTCCTTGAGTAGAATAAAGCTTTTATTTATTTGGAGGGGTAGGGGTGTGTGAGGGGGAAAGCCACTAAGTACGCTGGTTATAACATGAGATAACATGAAAAAGTTTCCCATTAAGTCTCACTGTTTCTAACTTGACTCTAAAGAATTGCCTGTTTAGATTAAAAGAGAACATGTGTTCTCTGATAAGGAAGAGTGTTTTTTATATAAACTGAGAAGTTCTGTGAGTTTGTTGGGTTTTTCTTCTTTGAAATGACTTTGAGAACAGAATGTATTTATTGAGAAGCACAATTAAGAAAAGTGAAAAAGCAGAAATGAATAGCCTCAGGTATTGTGCAGTTATATTGTGATGTTAAATCAGAAGGCAAACTTTCTAATTTTAAGAAGACATTCTTATCCTACTGCCCTATTTCTCAGTATATGCAATGTGGCATTACTAAGGTTTTATACAGAATCTGAGCAAAACAGAAGCAGAATGACAGATATTATTTTTAATTAATGAAATGCAAGGTGTCAGTTTCCAGACTAGTTTTCACTCTCAGTTCAAAAACCACTCAGTATTGGATAGAGAGGAAATAGGACTTGTAGGGTAGAAAACATCTTTTTTTCTTACTTAAAACATAAGCTACAGAGGTGTTGCTATTTTCTCACATAGTACTTGTACCTTTTTTTCCAGGTCTCTGTCTTGCCTTTAAAACTATCAACCTTTCTATTTGCAAAAGGAGTAAGTATATGGAGCTTGATGGAATTTTTCATGTTGTGTATTAAATCCATAAAATTATGGTGTTGCACATAATTTATATCTTGTACTGTAGGGGGCCTTGGGAAGGTGAAATCTAATAAATTTAAGATTTTCAGCTCATATAAATCAGTTAATGCGCTATATGCAAGCCACAAGAAGATCTGACAGAATAACCAAAAAACAACTGAGTTACCACAGTGGACCCTTTATCATTTCCTTGTTGTTGTTTTCCCTTTTGTTTTGAAAATGGAAGAAAGAAAGAAGCAGAAAAAGAGTCTGACTGTTTGGTTTTGCCTTTCTAGGACAGCATAACAGTCTTACACATTTCACTTAAAGTAGTCACTGGCAAAATTAATAATTTCTTATCCTTAGAATAACACTGTATTCTATTAACAAAGGAATAATTCACTCAATGCAAAATACCGGGAATCCAAACTTCCTATGAAGTGAAAATGTTCTTTGAAGCGATTTATTCCTAAAAAAAAAAAAAAGAGTAGCATGTATTCCAGTATTATAGCCTAGGTTTGCTCATATTCTAATATTTCAAAAACCATCAGAATTGTTTCCTCTTGCTGAAGGCTCCTTTTGTGATAAAATGAGCCCTAAGTGCTAGTGTATGCAAATACTAACAGGAAAATGACAAATTTGCTGAGTTTAGGAAGACATAAGGAGCTAAAAAATATTTCAGATTGAAAAAGATCAGAAGATTCTCCATTCTACTTCTCTCTTTTACCTCCACAGGTGTATATGTTAAAGTACACTAAGATATATCAAGTAGAGATCCCAGCAAAAATCACTGCATCAATAACTGGAATTATGAAAGTATGAAACAATTAAAAATTGGTTACATTACTAGGTAAGAAATACATAGAATAAGGAACTGCTGTAGAATTTAAGAAGCAAAGATATTCAAAACTCCAAATACCAACATACAAATGGCATTCCAATACCATACTGCAGAAAGGCATGTTCACAAATTTACTGTGATGGCATGAAATGCATGGAACATTCTGAAAAATTACTAACATTAGATATTTTTTGTTGTAAAGAAACAACTGCTTGTACTTGTCATCAGTGAAGAAAATCCAGGTACATTTGAGTCAGATGGCTTTTACATCTAAAAAGTAAGAAAAATTAGGAAAAATAAAAGATAGCTTATTTCACAGTCAAAAAATTACATATTATATATTATTCCATTGTGTTACCCAGAAAACTTCAAATGAAAAATTAAAGTAGTAATATCATTAGAAGAATGTTATCTGGGTATTAATAATCACTGAAAGCCTTCAATTTACAACTAGTTCTTTTAAATTTCAGTTGTATGGCAACAAGTGAAAACAAGTAAAAGCTAAGAAAAAGCTCCTGCTTCCTTACTTCCCAATATTTCTTATATTGTTCTAAATATACTACTTTGATTTAGGCCTTTTAATTTCTAATGTTTAATTTTGAATTCACATAGGAGGATTTTGCATGGCAAAAGACCTTTTCCTTTGTCGGTTGGTTTATATTTCAATTTTTCTGCAAAGTAAAGATTGAAGAACTGTTTTTTCCTTCTTTAATTCTTCCATCTCAGTACAAATTGGTCCAAGTAGAAAAATATCTAGGTTTCTCTCAAATGCTTATTTGTAACATGTTGTGCTGAAAAGAGCCCATGAGAATCCTTGTTTAAGACAATGCCCACCAGATTAATGTGAAATTCATGTGCTGAGCATGATGCTCTTCTCTCTTCTCCCTTCCTACTAGGAAATCATCTCCACAACAAGTGGTTTATTACGCAAAAGCATTTCCAATTAGAATAAATGTAATTCACCACCTAGGTTACAAATTCATGGCTTGGGAGAGTGTATTTCTGCAGCTATGTCTGTAATAATTTATAAAAGACAGCAAGGGAACAAAATCTAGCCAGACAATAGTGGACTTTCTCTTTTCTTGGGACCTGCTATAGGTATTTCTCTTTCAGATTAATTTGACAGAGAGAAGGATGCCACTAAGCAATGTAGATGCAAGCCAACCCATGTTTTGTTCACCGGTTCAGATCTAACTTGTGTGACCTGGGGAAGTCATCTCAAACCAGATCCCTTGAAAGGGTGTGGCCATTTCATTTCAACGAGATGCCGTCACCTCTGCCCTGACTACTGCAAGAACACGTTTACACTACAGGAAGAGACACTCACACTCTGCAGCAACGTGAATCAGTAGCTTAGATAAACACAAAATTTGATGCTACTTTTTCCTCTGCTCTGTTGGTCAGAGACAGAAAGATGCAACACTGTATGAGTCTCTTAATTTAAAAAGAAATACAGAGTCATTGCAAACTGAAACGTGGTTAGTCATAACGTTGAGTAAGCATTGAAAAGAGATGCAAGGGAAATACGACAAACATTAGAACCCAGCTTTCTGATAACCGCGTGAGAGTTTTTAACTATGATTATGAAAATATTACTGAAAATGCCTTTCAATAGATCTTAGTTTTCATGATAGTCTGATGATTATATATTGTTCTGTGATATTAATTGTTTAACTGTTATTAAAGGAAGCTTTTTTCCCCTTCTTTAATTATACCAACTTGCTTCCCTAAGCAGTCTCACATTAGACTCCAAACACTATTTTTAAAAATTCCTTTGCAGACCAATAGTTTGCCTAGTTATCCACCAGATACTAGTGCAGCTTACGCTTACCATTTAGTCCTATCTAGCCTACCAAGGCTTCCCCCACCCTGCCCAGGGCTCAGGACCTCCTTTGAGTTCCCCAGAGGCACTAGTCCCTGCCCCAGCAATGCTGCAGCAGAGCTGGTCTCCAGCTCCTCACAGGCCTGCCCTTTCCAGCCTCAGCTTGTCTCCATCTCCAGGGAGGTAATTGGGGCTGGGACTGCCCTGGTACCTCTGATTCCCTGCTTCTGGCTGACCCAATCATGACCTACTTGGGGGTGTCTCCATTATCCCATTCCCAGGGAGACTCCTCATTCTGATAATCCCTGACAGCGAAATTTCCAATCCCCCAAAACTGCAGTCAATGCAGGCTTCTGAATTCCTTTTGGAAACGTGGTTTCTATCCTAAGTGATGGGCTGGCTTCTGCAAACATTACTGCTGATTTGGTTATGCTTCCAACAAGACTATATCTATGAAATATTCTAAACCTGTCTGGAACCAGAGCTTCTAGAAAGTATTTAATTTTTGTCCTCTGCTGGTCATTATTCTTGTCCTTATTTCTCTGAATTTTCAGGGGAAGAAGAAACTGAAAATAATAGTCAATGGGCATATCTGTAATGTCACCTTTATGAACGCAGTGGGCTGCACTTCTTGACATACTTAATAGCAAGCTGCATTCAGGATGATTTATGATGGTTCCTCAGTCTTTAACTAGCCTATATCATCAGCGTATGACTGATTTTGCAGAATAGCAACGAAGGTGTCCTTGTTTTGCTAAGACTTCAACATTTTTCTTCCATCAGCCCTTTTAAATGCTTAATTTTCTTTTAGTATTCCTGCAGAAACTGTAGAAGGGCTACATCAACCAAAGGCATGATTTGAAGAGGTATACCAAATATTTCAGTTAATGAATTTTCT